AGCGCTCCTGGAGGAGCCCGGTGAATGGTTTCCATCCAGATGTGTTTCCTCTGGGCACAGAGGGCTGGTCTGGCCGGTGTGTCCCCACGCCGAGCAGCGGTGCTGCGCTGCCTCTGGTGCCCTGCATCCCCGTGTCCTGAGGGGATGGGGACAGCACGGTGTGAGGGCTTGCGCTGGAAGAAGAACGTGCGTCCAAGGGGAAGGTGCAGCTCCCTGGGCTTTTGCAGCTGTAACCAGGAGTAAATCACACTGTGCTGTGTCCTTTGGTGGAAGGCAGCAGCCAGCAGCATTTTAATTTCTGCTGCTGACAGCTGAGGGGACGCGGCTGCGGAGGATGTTGGGGTGTGACGCGTGGGATGGGTTTTTGTCTTGGGGAGAGGTCAGTGCAGCTCCTCGCTCACGCGGTGCCGTGGGAGCGAGCGCTGTAACGCAGCGGCTGCCGGCCCTGGTTTGTCGTTGGCAAAGGTGGGGACGGCCGGAACGGCCTCGGCCAAGGCGTCTTTGGGTTTGGTTTGAGCTTCCAAAGGGGCTGGGGGTCTCGGCCAGGATGGAGTCGCCTCGGGCTGAGACCTGGCTCCTTGTGAACCACGCGAGCAGCCATGGGGGCTGAGGAACACCAGCGAGCCGAGCCCCAGAAAAGGGCTGGGATTCGTTTCCCTTCAGTGTCCACCTCCCCGGGGAAGATGACAATGTCTGAGCTCCTTGCTCCCGGCTCCCTGTAGCCCCAGGATCTCGTGGGCTGGTGCTGCCCCTGCTCTGCACAGGCGGTCTGGGGCGCGTTTTGGCTCAGGGATGAGCTCTGTCAACAGACAGCAGTGGAAAAGCTCCCTCTGAGCCCTGTTTAGTGCTGCTCTCGCCTCCGGCGAGCATCCCTGGGGAGCTCTGCGCTGTGTGGCAGTAGGAGAGATAAAAGCAAATTAATAACTTTAATTTGCTTGGCTGCTGCTGGCAGCTGGGGACCTGGGCTTGGGGGATGTTTCTTGAAAGGTTGTTCTCCTGTTGTCACCCTCAGCATCGCTTCTCTTCCAACAAGCAAATGTGATGCTCGCCTGGGTCCATTTGGATCCTTTTGTGAGTGCCGTGGTTTGTCCTGCCCAGGGAGGAAGAGGCTGCAGAAAGTGGCCCAACAGCCTTTCAAAACCAGAGAGTAAACCCTGGACGTAACCCAGCTGGCCTCAAAATCCACATGGACACGAGCTGTGGGATGCTGCCAAGAGCAGGCGTCGTCCTGACCACGCTGCATGGAGGCACCGCTGCCTCTGCGCGAGGACCACCCCGGTCCTCTTCCCAAAACGTCCCCGTGCTCAGCAGAAAGTCAGCAGCGCTGACGGCCGCTTCTCCATCACCCGAGTATTTCTTTGTGTGGCTGTACGTGAAGTCTGTCGGTGCAGGTTTCACTCTGAGGTACAACATGGATCCTTGCTGAAGCTCGGCAGCCTTGGGCTGGGAGTTCCTGAGGTTTTTACTTAGGATTTTGATTTAGGACATTGATTCATATTGACTGATTGAGCCACTTCTCCTTTGCATCTCCCAGCTCCCTGGTGATGCACAGGAGGGCTGCCTTCGCCTGGCTCCTCTGTAATTACCTCCTTTTCCCCTAATTTACCATTATACCTTACAAACCATATTTAATTGCAGCAGGATAATCACAGGTGATCTCCTAGCGCATCGTTTTAAAGCGCTCAACCCCCTGAGCCGGGGACAGCCAGCAATTTCCATTCTCGGTGCCAGCGAGCTGTGCCAACACAGGTATTTCTGTGCCCCCTGCCTGTGGAGAGGGACCTGTGGAGCAGATGATGAGCTCTGCTGGGTGGGAAGGTCACGGCCGCTATCTCATTACTTGCCCTTGTAGTTTCATCCTCTTACTGCAATGCATCAGCGTAATAAGAGAAGCCAGGGTGCCAGCTCGGGGCGGGGGCTGGTTTTAACTGGCAGGAGGCTTCAGCTTGAAGCCGGGCATGAAGGCATCAGGGCAGGGTCCATCTGTGGCTTTGTGGCCAGGGTGGCTGCCCGCGGGGCTTTTCGGGGTGAGGAGAGGAGCTGTTTCCAGAGAATGAGGTGAAAACGCAGCACCCCGAAAATCTGTGGTCCGGTCTCACAGCTCCCCATGCCCAGCCCCGCTGGGGCTGTGGCTCACGTGAAGAGGAGCTGGGTGGTCCCTGTTGGGCTGGGGGATGGAGTCTGGGGGGACGGGACCCCGACCCCTCCCTGCCTGCGGTCAGAGGAGCAGCCAGGGCCACGCTGGGCGTCACAGCGCTGAGGGTGCTCAGCGTTCACTGAGCTCGGGCAGGTACCTCATCCCAAAAACCAGAGTTCTTTACCCAGCGCGCAAAATCCAGTCGACGCACCCGGAGTTGAACTCTTTGCTGTCTTGGATTTTTGCGCAGAGCTGGGTCCTGGGCGGCAGCTCCACGAAGCCAGTGCACCTCCCTGAGGGACACAGATTCTTCTATGCACTAAGAATTGCCGGACTGCCTGAACTTTATGAATGCCGATGCTCACCTCTGTGATTGCCTGACGAACCGCACTAACGTTTAAAGTGGTCGAGCTTCTTGTTTTTGTCGTGCCTGCTCTGTGAGGGGTGGGCTTGTGAGAGTAGGGGGCTTTTTCTTCCCTGGAGCTGTGGTTTTACCATGCTAATGAGGCCAGTTCAGTCAAATTTACCTTTTTGGGTAGTTACTGCTGTGCCAAATAGCTTCTGGGGGCCCATCTACTCTAGTGATGGATGCACACAGTACACGAGCCAGTGTTTTCAGACCTTTTACCTACGCCGAGGTCTCCAGATGGTTCTTGTCTTGCTGCATCCTATCGTAGAATAAACAAAGCCCGTGATTTCCATTGCCAGGTAGGGATCTCCGTCGCCCGCTGAGTTGCTGCCTGGGGTCGCTGATGGCTGCGAATGGAAGCCCAGAGCCTGCGCAGCTGATGCCGCAGGACAGACCCGCCCTCGGAGCTTGCAGATGCTTTTTGGCCAGATTATTTCTGCCTGGCAAAACTGCGTGTGATTGCATCCTCTTGATGATGCTGAAGGCTGATGGATGTGTATACCCGTCCACACGGGGAAAAAAAGGCAGGTCTGCAAGAGCGTGGTCTGTGGGTTCAACCTCCTTCTGGCCAGTTTGGTGCTGGGGCTGCGCCAGAAGCTGGGCAGTGGTCTGAGCTGTGGCAGTGTGAGCAGGCAGGAGCGAGCGGGGATGGGGAGGATGCAAATGTAGGGTCAGGTCCTTCTGTGCTGCAGGTGTTGGGAAGCAGGAGAGAGCAGAGATGAATACAAACCCAAACATCTTTTTAAAATATGGTGGGTTACACTGATTTTTTCCCCAGGGGCAGGCTCTACAGCCTCAGACTCATTGTGTTTGTCCCTTGCTTGTCTGATCCGAGCTTGGTTCCTGCCTCTTCCCGTGACCAGGGACTCCTTGAGGTGAGGCTGGGGACAGAGGTGGGCTCCCAGGGGACGTGGCAGTGTTCAGGACATCACCGCCTGCCCACCCCCTGCCTTTTTCTTTCTTATCCTGGGATCTATGTCCCTCTGCTTCAAGCTTCTTCACCTAAAATCTGAAAAGTGATGCTTTGTGTCACTTCCCTAGTGATTCCGACGTTATGGAAGGGAAAATTTGTTGCCCTGCTTGAGACTCAAATCCTGCTCCTATCCAGAGGAGAGGTTTGATGAAGCACTGATGTGTTGGAGCTTTCAGTGGACAAATCCAGGTAAAATCAGGCTGGGTCATGGAAGCTGAAGCCCTGAGCCTGCTGCTTGACCAGGGGATAACTCGATATTCAGGTGCAGCCCAAATTTAGTGTAACCTGCCAAGAGCTGAATAAATCAAATGCTAAATCCAAGTAGATGGAAAAAACCAGAAAATAACTGAGTCCTGGGGATGCTTAGAAGTCTGTTAGACGTTCAAAGTTCACTGGTTTTAGTCCTTTTGAATGGTTTTGAATGGTTTTTGTGTTTGATCGACGTAGGGTTGATTGCAAAGGAAGCGGCAAAGCTGAGGGGACTTGGTGTTTTGGTCTAATGTAAAAAATAACCTGAAAACTGAGCTCTGAAAGCTGGCGCCCTCTCGTCACTGACTAGAGAGGCAGCTCGCGTCCCTGAGCGGACGTCCTGCGTCTGGGGGTCTCCCGCTGGGCGCCTGTCGCACCCGGGGATGGGCGATGCTTGCGATGGTGAGAGGGTCTCAGGGGGTGGTCACTGCCACCAAGGGGTCTGCTGTCAGCCTGGGTCACAGTGTCCCTGCTGTGTCCTGCCTGGTGGCCCAGGACAGGGACGCTGCGTGTCCTTCAAGGTGTGGCTTGGTGCGTCCCGTGAGCCCTGCTTCCCTTGGGCTGAGCACGTCCGTGTGCGTCCTGGCGGGTCCTGTTCCTGGGAAAGAGCCCATCATCGTGAAGAGGAGCGGCTTTTGGCCACGGTGAACGTGTGGAGGGGCCAGGCCAGGCCCTTCGCTGTCTGCTGGGCTGTGCGGCGCCAGGGAGGAGCTGGGCATCGGCCCTCTCTGCCTCCTTGGAGCAAAGGGCTCGGTGGCTCCTGCTTGAGCATCCGCTCCTGTCTGCGGCTGTCACCTCGGGGACCTTCGTCCTGTCCAGCTTCTCCTCATCTGCAGGATCGGGAGTGGAGGTGGCTGCTGGGGATCTCGGGGCCTCGGTGAAGGGCTGGGCTTGGCTGAGGTTTGTGTGAGCCCAGCCTGGGGTTGGGGACAGGAACAGGCTGGGGGAGATGGGACATCACAAAGGCTTTGTGGTCTCAAGGCAGTTGTCTGTGTTGCAGCCATCTCCTCAGAGGGGATTCAGGTTTGGGGGATCAGAGCTGAACTGGTTTTAGTCCCATGGGTACTGGGGATCATACAAAGCTCCGGGGTCGGATTTTGTAAAATCGGGGTCCTGGGTCAGGAGGAGGGGGCTCAGTGGGGGTCAGCTCTGGAGTCACCGCGTGCTCTGTGACGAGCTCCCGGGCTGCGAGGGCCGTGCCGGGTGCTGACCTGTCCCTTCCTCCTTTCCAGGCTTGCCGCGATTTCCTGGACTTAGCGGAAACTCACAGCCGGAAATGGCAGCGGGCGCTGCAGTATGAGCGGGAGCAGAGGATCCGGCTGGAGGAGACCATCGAGCAGTTAGCCAAGCAGCACAACAGCTTGGAGCGTGCCTGCCGCGGAGCCCCCGGCCTCTCCTCCAGCAGTGCCGGCATCACCAGCACCACCAAGGGTGAGCGCGGCCCAGCCGAGGCTGTTCCTGCTGGGAAGCCCCGGCGTGGAGCAGAGCTTTGTGCTCGGTGCTCCCAGCGAGTCGGCAGGGATGGGAGATGCACAAGGCCCTGTATGCCTCTGATTTTATTATTTTTTGTGGATCCCATTATGCCATAATTGTGTCTCATTGTCCTGTGGCTCGTAGCTTGAGGACTTGGATGACCCAAGATGTGGATGCAGGGAAGAGCTGTGTCCCCAGCTCGCTCACGCTATTTCAGGCTATTCTGGTATCACAGACTGGTTTGGATTGGAAGGGACCTTTAGAGACCATCCAGTCCAACCCCCTACAGTGAGCAGGGATACCCTCAACCAGATCAGGTCGCTCAGAGCCCCTTCCAACCTGGCCATGAGTGTTTCCAGGGATGGGGCCTCTACCACCTCTCTGGGCAACCTGTGCCAGTGTTTCACCACCCTCAGCATAAAAAATTTCTTCCTTATATCCAGTCTAAGTCTCCCCTCCCTGAGTTTAAAACCATTACCCCTTGTCCTGTCACAATCTTGCTTAAAGGATTGTTCCCATCTTTCTCATAGGCCTCCTTTAAGCACTGGCAGGCCTACTGAAGGTAGCCTACACCCTTGCTGGTGGGCACATCTCTGGCTGCCCCCGTGCTTGGAGGAAGCCCAGGGTGTCCTGGCTGGGTTCACGGCTGTGCAGGGGGTGGTGGAATGGCTGGGGCTCATTTGCTGTTCGCAAGAGTTACTGGGCAATAAAATCGAACAGCTTTGTGTATTCTTGCCAAATCTCCATCCCTGCGGGAGGCATTAGTTACAGCCTCGTAGCCAAAAACTACAGTAGTGCCTTGTCTTATTTTTAAAGGTTGTGTGGATGCAAGAGAGAGAACAGCGGCTGTCATGGGGGGTGATGGCAGTGCCAGGCACTGCCCTCATTCTTGTATGGCCTCAAGAAAACGGCCTCAGGTTGTGCCAGGGGAGGATTAGGTTGGGTATCAGGAAAAATACATTCACAGAAAGGGTTGTGAAGCACTGGAGCAGGCTGCTGGGAACGTGGGGGAGTCAGCACCCCTGGAGGGATTGGAAGGATGGGGAGATGTGGCGCTGAGGGACATGGTTTAGTAGTGGGGTGACAGTGCTGGGCTGGCAGTTGGACTCGGTGTTCGTGAGGGTCTTTTCCAACCTAAACGATTCTGTGATTCTGTGGTGCCACTTGGGAGGAAAGGGAAATTGCTGCAGGGACAGGCACAAACCCGGCGCAGCCCGACCCCCTCGCAAAGGGTGACCCCACTCCATTGGAGGGGGGTGGGACCGGTGCAGGGGATGAGGCTGCCCAACCCTGCCAGGACCGAGCGAGCTGCTGAGCTGGCCGCGCTGCTTCGGGGAGGGGGCTGGGGCCGGC